AGGGCTCTGTTCTGGGCCCAGTGCTCTTCAACATCTTCATCAACGATTTGGACGAGGGGATAGATGGGGAACTCATCAAATTTGCAGACGACACCAAGCTGGCAGGAATAGCCAACACTCCAGAAGACAGGCTTAAGATACAGAAGGATCTGGACAGACTTGAACACTGGGCACTATCTAACAAAATGAAATTCAATGGAGAAAAAAGTAATTGGGTATGTCTCGTTTAACGAAGAGAAGGACGAGGGGGGCATGATAGCAGTGTTCCAATATCTCAGGGGCTGCCATAAAGAAGAGGGAGTCAAGCTATTTTCCAAAGCGTCTGAAGGCAGGACAAGAAGCAACGGGTGGAAACTAATCAAGGAGAGAAGCAACCTAGAACTAAGGAGAAACTTCCTGACAGTTAGAACAATTAACCAATGGAACAACCTGCCTCCAGAAGCGGTGAATGCTCCAACACTGGAAGTTTTCAAGAAGAGACTGGACAGCCATTTGTCCGAAATGGTATAGGGTTTCCTGCCTGAGCAGGGGGTTGGACTAGATGACCTCCAAGGTCCCTTCCAACTTTACTATTATTTATTTATTTATTTATTTATTTATTTATTTATTATAATTTAATTGTTTAAAGCAAGGGTCTTCAAACTTGGCCCTTTTATGACTTGTGAACTTCAACTCCCAGAATTCCTCAGCCACAAGTCTACAAGTCATAAGAGGGCCAAGTTTGAAGACCCCTGGTTTAAAGCGACCATTTGGCCATGTGAGGCCATTGTAGTATATGTATCAGAAAAGTATGTATTTGGTTTGAATATCATCAGATCTGTAGAGATCCCAAATGTTCTTAGTTTCTGTAAATGCAACTGCTGAAAATGTAATAATGATGATGATGATGATTTATTAAACTTGCACGCTGCCCAACTCTCAATGACTCTGGCCATATGCACAACAAGCAAAAAATTACAATAAAATCAATAAAACATGAAAACTAAAGATAAAAGATGGCAAGCACGATAGACAAGATGGAATGAAGCAAAGGATCTCGCTTTCCCTTGACAGAGGCTGAGTGAAGAACCAGGTCTTCACAGCCTTTCTAAACGACAGCAGAATTGGGCCATCTGGATGTGGGGTGGGGGTGGGGAACTTCCAGAGAAAGTTCTGCTGCAGAAAAGGTGCACTTCTGAGATCTCGGTAGGTTACCTTGTTTAATCGAAGGAATCTGGAGTGCACCAAACCCTGCAGGATTGAGTTGGCTGGGCAGATGTTATGAGAAACAGACAGTCCCTCAACTGATGATACTGCATGTTAATAATAATAATAATAATAATAATAATAATAATAATAATAATAATAATAATAATAATAATAATAATAATAATAATAATAATAATAATAATAATAATAATAATAATAATAATAATAAAGTTGGAAGGGACCTTGGAGGTATCTAGTCCAACCCCCTGCTCAGGCAGGAAACCCTATACCATTTCAGACAAATGGCTGTCCAGTCTCTTCTTAAAAACTTCCAGTGTTGGAGCATTCACCACTTCTGGAGGCAGGTTGTTCCACTGGTTAATTGTTCTAACTGTCAGGAAGTTTCTCTTTAGTTCTAGGTTGCTTCTCTCCTTGATTAGTTTCCATCCGTTGCTTCTTGTCCTGCCTTCAGGCGCCTTGGAAAATAGCCTGACCAAACAATGGTTGATCTCACCATTGAGAGGGAGAGGGAGAGAGAAACTCTGCTAACCCCAAAGAGGGGCCTAGGCAGTGATTTCCCTAATCAACACTGTCTGGGACTGGCTCCAGAGAAATAGAGAACCACCATAAAATGTTGCTCCCAATCCCCAATCCACAGAGCCACCTCAGAAGGATACCATGGTCAACAGTATAGAAAAGTGCTGAGGGTTCAAGAAGCACAAGAATGTCTCCTCCTAACTATGTCTCTTCTGCCCTAAGGCCTGGTGGATGGAATCCATTCAGGAAGGGGGAGGAGCTAACTGGCACTTGGTTTCTCAGCTGAGCCAAAGGCATATATCCTCTTCTTTCCAATGTTCTTTCTTTAGAAGTAAAGGTTTTTCTTGGCAGATGACAAGCACATACTTGGGGATGAGTGTGCCCTATCACTATCCCTATTATAATTCTGTGGTGGGTTGGGTATGGCAGGGATAAATATTTTTGCCTGTTATGTACCCAAGAACAGTCAATCAGGAATGGCGCTGAGTGACATTTCCCTATTTAAAGTAAACAAAACTGGATTAACGTTGCTCTCCTTGAAATAAAAAGAGAGGTAATCTGAATGGGAACAAGGAGAATAGATGCTGTGAGAGAGGTGATTTTCAACTCACTGATAGTAAAAAAAGAAACATAAATCTGGTTTTTCTCTCTTGCTTTCAGGGATTATCCAGCCAGGCTGATTCCACAGAGTCACGATGGGGGAAAGGTTGCTCCGCCGTGGAATTCTCTCTTTCCTGTTGCTCGGTGCCGTCTGTCAGGCCCAGGATCTTCCACTGAGCCAGGAAAACAGAGGGACGAGCTCCCTGTGTGAAACAGANGGAAACCCTATACCATTTTGGACAAATGGCTGTCCAGTCTCTTCTTAAAAACTTCCAGTGTTGGAGCATTCACCACTTCTGGAGGCAGGTTGTTCCACTGGTTAATTGTTCTAACTGTCAGGAAGTTTCTCCTTAGTTCTAGGTTGCTTCTCTCCTTGATTAGTTTCCATCCGTTGCTTCTTGTCCTGCCTTCAGGCGCCTTGGAAAATAGCCTGACCAAACAATGGTTGATCTCACCATTGAGAGGGGGAGAGGGAGAGGGAAAGAGAAACTCTGCTAACCCCAAAGAGGGGTCTAGGCAGTGATTTCCCTAATCAACACTGTCTGGGATTGGCTCCAGAGAAATAGAGAACCACCATAAAATGGTGCTCCCAATCCCCAATCCACAGAGCCACCTCAGAAGGATACCATGGTCAACAGTATAGAAAAGTGCTGAGGGTTCAAGGAGCACAAGAATGTCTCCTCCTAACTATGTCTCTTCTGCCCTAAGGCCTGGTGGATGGAATCCATTCAGGAAGGGGGGGGAGCTAACTGGCACTTGGTTTCTCAGCTGAGCCAAAGGCATATATCCTCTTTTTTCCAATGTTCTTTCTTTAGAAGTAAAGGTTTTTCTTGGCAGATGACAAGCACATACTTGGGGATGAGTGTGCCCTATCACTATCCCTATTATAATTCTGTGCTGGGTTGGGTATGGCAGGGACAAATATTTTTGCCTGTTATGTACCCAAGAACAGTCAATCAGGAATGGTGCTGAGTGACATTTCCCTATTTAAAGTAAACAAAACTGGATTAACGTTGCTCTCCTTGAAATAAAAAGAGAGGTAATCTGAATGGGAACAAGGAGAATAGATGCTGTGAGAGAGGTGATTTTCAACTCACTGATAGTAAAAAAAAAGAAACATAAATCTGGTTTTTCTCTCTTGCTTTCAGGGATTATCCAGCCAGGCTGATTCCACAGAGTCACGATGGGGGAAAGGTTGCTCCGCCGTGGAATTCTCTCTTTCCTGTTGCTCGGTGCCGTCTGTCAGGCCCAGGATCTTCCACTGAGCCAGGAAAACAGAGGGACGAGCTCCCTGTGTGAAACAGANAAAAAAAGAAACATAAATCTGGTTTTTCTCTCTTGCTTTCAGGGATTATCCAGCCAGGCTGATTCCACAGAGTCACGATGGGGGAAAGGTTGCTCCGCCGTGGAATTCTCTCTTTCCTGTTGCTCGGTGCCGTCTGTCAGGCCCAGGATCTTCCACTGAGCCAGGAAAACAGAGGGACGAGCTCCCTGTGTGAAACAGATGCTGGGTCCTGGGGAGCTGTATTCAGTGAAGAACGCCTAGATGCCTGGATCTGTTCTCTGATTGGTTCTCTTATGGTGGGATTGAGTGGGGTTCTTCCTCTACTCTTCGTTCCTCTCCAGACGGGAGCAGCATTGAAATCAGAAGGTAGACCAGTTCTTCAGCAAAGCCTTCTTGTTCGTCTTGCCTATCATTTGTGCCTGTTCTCCCCAGTCAGTGAATACTAGAGATGGCCTGTATGTTTAAAGCAGTAGCTGAGTGCTATTTATGGCCATGTAATGCTCCTTCTTTGAAATGTGGTAATAATCTGTTCTGTCGTTTTGCAAAGTAACGTCATGGCTAAAGGTGAGGCCTCATGTTTTGTTCAGCGAGTAGTTTAAAAGTCACGTTGGACTTCACCCATCGTACTTTATCCTGTTAACCAAAATTTCACAACCCAAGAAGTGGAATTCTCTGATTTACTTAAAGGAAGATAAGGAAGTGTTTTTGCATGTACCTTAGCAGTTTGTACCATTTGATTTCCATTAGTTATAGCAATGACCAAAATATTAGACAGAAGGTTGAAGCTCTACTCACTGGCCACAAGAAAGCCAACTCGGTACCTTCTCAGTGGCTTTTCAGTTTTTGCCAGTGCCCAGCCAGTTGTGTTGTCTTACATCTTAAATACGTGTGTGGGTTAAATCAATCAATATATTCTCTAGCAAGTGATCAGATCTTTGGAATATCCATAACTTGTTTATTTGCCAAAGGGCCAGACATCAACTATCTTGTTTTTTTCTATTGGGTCCAACGCAGATGGCAGTGGGAACCTCCCAGTGTGCAGCTTTTGCTGTTCTCAAAAGTACAACTTAGAGCAGAGGTCCCAACCTTTTAGCACCAGGGACCAGTTACGTGAAGAGAGGTTCTTCCACAGACTAGAGGGAGCATGGTTTTGTGCGCTGCCTGCATCCCGCAGATGGGGCTTTGCTTGTTTGTGCGGACCGGTTGCTGGCATGCTGCGGCCCGGTACTGGTCCATGGACCAGGGGTTGGGGACTTAGAGTTTAAAGTTTATCAGTGTTTTGTTGGAAGCAATGGATCTGAGCTGATTAAATAGCTGTATCTGTATCTGTTGTCTGCAAATGTCTTCTGAGACTTGTCATGTGTAGGAGAATAAGAGCAAACCCTGCAGTGACTGGCTGCTATTTGTTTTTCAGAGGGATCCCATCGAATGAAACAGCTGCTGAGTTTTGCTGTCGGTGGGCTTCTGGGAAATGTGTTTCTCCACTTGCTTCCGGAAGCCTGGGCCTATACTTGTAGTGCTGCTGCAGGTAATACCCAAACCTATATCAAGATTATGAGACGGGTCCACTTCATCACGTCTGTGAAGATGTGTTGTAGATTCTGGAACGGGTTCATTTTGGGGGGTTGCAATCATAGAAAGGCCTGGTATGATAAAGAATCAGGCACAGCCAGTGTATATCTATAGGGGCAATAAGGTGAAATATAGACAAATTGAATGCAACTCCTGAACCTTCATGTGCTATAACACTCTTGGATGGCGAGGGAGCGAAGCCCTATAATTAACAGATTGATTAGTAGAAGTCGCATCTTCTGACCTTGTAGCACACCAGGAACACCATTAAGAGAGGCACCTGTCCTTGTTTTGCTGTCTGCTTTGAATTTGCAGAGGTTATCTTTTCTTAAAACTGTCAGGGGCGATTCTTCTGGAATGTGTCTCGTTTGTTTTGTTATCTGGCCTCTGGGCTTCCTCATCTCACACATCTCTGCCTGCCATGCTTGTTCAGCTCCAGTCAAGAGCGTGAAGCTGACTGTAGTCCGTTTAATCAAAGGTACCATTTAAGAACTTGCCAGGCTATGCCAGGAGGATATATTAGCTATTCCAAGTTGCAGGTTTCTAGCTGTGCGTATAATTTGAGAAGGCTTGGATGCTAAATTTTCAGCTTTCAACATGCATGGTTATAGCCGGAGTTGTACATGATTCTTTATTCAATAAATCCTAGTCTTGTTCGAAGGCTAATGCATAAAACACACAGCTTTCAGGACTCAGGCTTTCAAAAAATAAAATCAACATTCCGTAGCAAAACCTGGATAGGCAGGAAATTACATCGATGAAGAATCTAGGAAGAAAAGGAGTTAAATATACTGTAATAGCCAGAAGGAAACAGGGTTATGCAAACTTACAAGCCCTTAACTTTAAAAAAAAAAATACTTTCAAGTAATTAACCGCAATCAGACTTTTAGAAAGATGAAAATCAGATTATTATTTTTCAAGAGTACAAACTCCATGCTGGATACTATATTATCAATATGCTACAATTAGGCCTTTCTCACAATTTTTATTACGGGCTATGGTACTTTTATTATAAATAGATCATACTTTTTCAAATTATGTTTTTCTGGTACCCAGCTTTTGTGGGTACAATAAAGCAACGAAACTTGCCCTCTACGGAATCAGTTTCCCTGGGGATGCTTAGAGCTGTGAAGAATCATCCTGTGCAGCCATGATTTTTAGGGGTACAGCAGGAACTGATTGCTCTACTTCTTCTCCCCACCCTTACAAGGAGAAGGGCAGAGCTTCCAACAGCAGAAGCTTCTGGGGCTCTGGGTGATCATTGGCCTACTGACCTTCCTGAGTCTGCAAAAGATGTTCCCATATAGTGAAAAACAAGGAAGCGCCAACTTGGTGAGTGGACTGTGGAAGGAGCACTTGAATTCACTTTAGATACGGCATGATGTGCTGCTCTTTGCTCCGCATGACACTTTATCCCATCTGTTTCTTTGAAGCTTCTTTCATGGTTTAGGAATTCAGTGTATAAAAACTATGGGGGGAGAAGAAAGGCATTTATTCATTTATTGTGCCCCACAAGAATCTTCTACTAATAGTGAAGAGCTTTAGGCACTGTGTCAAATTTCTCTCTTTTCCGTTCCTGCCCTCTGCTTCTGCACTGAGCATAAACTGTTGCGAATATCTAGTTTCTGAAAGTTGTATGTGTGTATCCTATAGCTACGCGGTGCTTTGATACCCAAAATAGGCTTTGCGGCGCAGAAGGATCCAGATGTAGCACCTGTCTGCTGTTCTTCAAAGCGCCCACATTGTTGTCTGGGATCATGTAGCAGCTTTGTGGAGGGACAGCCCCATGGAAAGGCAGAGTTGCTTTTAAAGAGTTACAGGCAGATGCTACATTTATGTCCCCGTGTGCTTGAAGCATCTTTTTGGAAGTGTCTTGCAAATTTCAAAACAGCAATTTTTCATGGTTCTTTTTTTTTTTTTAGTGTGTGGTTTGGGGTGGAGTTAGAGAGACTGGAGCGAATGTTATCGATTTTGCTTCCACAGCAATGTTTGGAGTATATAAAGGTGTTTAATTTGTGTGACTTTGCTCTCACCTAGTATATATTCAAAATGATACCTTGTGCGTTGCATTTGGAATGGGATGTTTTAAAGGGAATAAGAGAAACCTCTTAGCCACTGTTTGATGGACACGGATAAAGTTCAGCCATTTCTCCATGATTTAGATCAATAATTGCAAACCGGTTACCGAAACGACCGTGAATGGCAGCAGCTTCTCTAGGCAAGAGGCAGACGCTCCAGTCCAAAGAAAGAAGTCAAGCACTGCTCATTGTAATGGGTCTTCTCATTTACTCTCATCATCAGCTCAGAAAATCAAGGTAAAACATTTCTTGATGGGCTCTAGAGAGCCATGGGCCATGGAGAGATAAAATAAACCACTTGAAGAAAAACACTGAAAAGAAGTTCATGGCCTGTTGAAAATAAACAAGTGGGATAGGATCCTAAAGAAGAGCAAACTTTCCATTTGTTACACTTTGTACTATTAAATATAGAGCTGCTTTATATTGACTGCGACTATTAAGACACCCAACCCTGTATATCCCATTTTCACATGTGCAAGTCTTATCTGTTCTGGCTGCCTCCTTGTATAGGAGATGCCAAGGATTGCAAAATCTGAGATTTTGCATATACAAAAGATACCCTTTGCCACTGAACTAAGGTACCATCTCCATCTCAATGCCCCATATACCTGGTCCCCAAGTATATTCAACTTTAATTCTTTGTAAGGTTACGTTTAGAGAGAGAATAGGACTAAGTAAGTGGTCTGGACTCAAAGGGGAAAAGTTGATTTGTAATACCTTCCATAAAGAAGCAAAAGACACATTTGATTTAAAGCTGTTCCAACAGGGGTGACATGTGCATGCAGACACATACCTAATTCCTTTTTTTTTCCTCTTTGAATTCAGATGGTTGCACAGCCCTAATAAACAGCCAGTGTCTGGATTTTAACAATATTCTTATTCTGCAATTGCTAGAGGAATGCTATTTTCTGCATTGCAGGAACTCTGTATTCTTAAAAATACACTTTCCAATCGAGGAGCTTGGTCACACATGCTAAGGGATAGATGCTGTGTTCTTGTTGAGAACTATCAGGGCATATAGCGTTATGCTCGTCAAAACGCAGTAATGCTGAATCGGCTGGATTTTGTATTTGTGTGTTTCTAGGGACATCATTTAATTCCATGTCGCTGTTTCCAAAGCAATGTACCTCCTTGATCCCATATTCAAAATATTTATTCATGTCTTTATTAGCATGAATACATTTACTGTATATTATGTAAATTTGTACTCAGAGAAAATAAAGATCTTTATTCCAGTCACAGACCAGCATAAGGTTTACAGAATAAAAGTATTACTATGTGAATAGTTTGCATGCAAAAATTTAGGCTCCCTAATCAAACTGTATGATTCAGTGGATCCCTAAATGAACAAAAGCTGGCACAACCTCTACAAAGGTAAACACCACTATTTCCTGCAAACTGGAAATCAAGTTCTTCAGCTACAGTTGTTGCCAATTAAGAATAAGATAGTAGTGAATATGGCAAGTTTCAGAAGTTGGGTATTTAGTCAGCATTGTAATACCTCTTTTGGCAGGAATGACAGCTTCTCACGTTTCCTGTAGTCAACAGAGGGTCTTTCTACTGTATTCATTTGGAATTTTCCCCTTTCTCTAGCAGATATTTCCTAGCTCAGAAATATTCATATCACAGGTTTCTGTACCTGCACTGCATTATTGCTCTCTGTCACCATGTGATACAGGTTCTTTTTGAACCGGATGGTGTATTGTTCTTTTGCAACACAGAAAACAACACAGTAGACACTTTTTTGCTTTAAAAAAAACTATTTACAACAAATGTTTGCAACAAATATTTACAACACAGTCCCAGTGTTGGGTTTCCTCCTAAGTCTCCTTCCCAGAGACTATCCCCTTCTATCTCTCCTTCCTCCCCTTTTCTCTCTGATTCTCTTCCCCATTTCTGGGCTTGATGAGAGAGGGAGGGAGGGAGGGAGAGAGA